GTCAATAACACCCTCCAGCTGAAGATTGTCTTGAGATTTTTTCCCAAAAATTCCACTCTACAAAAGCCCCGCCCACCCACTCCCGGCTTCGCCCCGGTGATGTTTATCCCTTTTTCCACCAAGCCGATAAAACCAGCGTAGAAGAAAAATGTCCCAGCACTAGGCATGGTAAACATCCGGCCCCATTACCAACCGCCTCCCTTCGTTCAATGGGGGAAGGCAAGTGGCTCAGCTTGTGCCAGTCTGTTCCGAGAATCCTTATTGTCATATACGTCGTAGATCCTTTTGGAATTCCCTTTTAATTCTACTGAGCTATGAATGCTAGTGGTGCATGGCCGCACCAACATCACAGCTTCGGCAGCAACGGCAATACAAGCGCTACGAAATTGATCAGCCCGGCGTGTTGGTAAATATTTAATTAAAGTCTGAGCTAAAACTAAGTGTGTAGGTTTGTATATGTAATCGAGTACCAACCAGCCGCCACTTCTGGCAGGATGAAGCAATCTCACCCGGGGCTAGTGTTGTGAGAATGTTGGTAGGTCTCTAATTCCTGCCTGGAGCAGGTCTATCGTTTAGGCTTTTAATCTATTGAATTTGCTTTCTCCTTGCGCTAGTTTCGGTCGGTTGGTGTCCGACGGTGGTATTGGCAAGGGGAAATAGCCAATGGGTACCAAACAGAACAAGAAATACCGACCGAATCAAACAGTTCAACCATCGCCGGACCAATCTGACTCGGCTGAACCTCCAGGAGGGAATAAATTAGTTGGGAATACCAATTTAGTAAACAGACGATTATTTTGCTTGCATGCTCTCTGACTCCTGGGTGGGTGGGAGGTGGTCGATGTGGAAAAGTTTGGCTTGAACCCGGTGCCGTGGGAAGCTATTTATCTTGTACCGAGTGGGGATGTCTAGATTAGAAATAAAATATGCCTAAGGATCGGATTTCGAAGCTGTAAAGTGCTTTCCAAGGGTGTTTCCGATGATCTGAACCTGAAGGTGGTTGCAACTGTTGTGGATTGGAGACTCACATCGATGGCAAAACTCGGAGGCTGTTTGGTGTTTGGAGAACGACTACAACCTTAGTTGATTTGTGATTGCAGATGCCCGTTGGGGAATCTTCTGCTAAATCTATTATGCATTTGTTGTCTTCAAAGTATTTTAGAATCTGTTGCACATGTTAACCATTCGCTCGCAAGATGGATTATTTGCGAATTGTTAGTTGTTTTGATGAATCATTCTTTCTGATTGGACAGCACGGATTACATCAGCTTTTCTCCGGTTTAAATAATTGTCAGTTTGTTTCAAAATATAAGCATTTTAGTCACGGTTCACGAAACAAATGGTACATACGATGGCAACAAGGATTCAACCTGCATCGAAGCGTGAAAGTGTACCATCAAGGGGGGATCTGTTGCAAGATTCACGTCTTCCTTTTAAAAGCATGGAAATTCTTCCGAAGCATCACCGTGGATAACTGTATTATATCACTCCCTCAAGTAAACGAACGGTTCTAGCATCATTGGATTACGGAAAGAAGACGCATACCTACCCCGGCTCTTTTTCCGATATCGACAGCAATAAAGTGTGCTGCCACGATTTTATTAAACTTTAGCCTAAATAAACCTCGCATTTTATATGCAGTATCACACCACCACGGCTTACTCAGGAGAATAAAAAGATTTGAATTGAGCTGTGATCTAGGGAAACTTTCGATGGAAGTTTTCACTTGTCAGTGAAGTGGAAAGTTGAAGGAATAGTGAATGGCTTAGTATACGGTGGGGTTGGCTTTTACGCAATCACATAGAGATGCATGCGTTGAGGGTGACCTATCTTGAAGATATTATCCGTGCTCTTATGTTTGAAGCACTCGCAGTTGCTATCCTAAGAGACACGAGTTGTTTCATTTGGCAGTAGCTAAACGATAATCGTACTTGACATAAAGCAATTCGTTTGCATTCACTTTCTGCTAGTTGAATAATGTGACTTTTTATTTATTTATTTATTTGTCGTCAATCATGTTTGTAGAGCGTTTTTGTTACAGCGATTATCTTAAACACTAGTTCACTTAAATTCATCCAGCTTTGTCTAAGTACCATATGTGTGAACGTATAAATAGTTTTAAATAAATGGATCTCCAAAAATATTGTGTTCGTGCATCACGAAAAGTGCATCCGCGCGCCACCTGTTTTTCAACTCGCATCGACCGACAGCATCAACCATTCTTCGATCATCGATTATGGCGCCTGGCGGAAAAGTGCGTTCTCGCTCTATCCGGGACTACCTACATAAAATGGAGGCACCCTCTATAAAAGGCGAGCTGTCATCATGAAATCATCATCAGTTTTTCTCGACGTCATCATCCTTCAACAACTCAGAAAGTGAATCAAAACAAAGAACGAATAGTGGCAGTGATTTTATTGAAATAATATTTTGTAGTTTTTTGAATAATAAAGTAGTAAAATAGTTATAGTAGTGAACAATAAAGATACTTTGTACGAACCTGCGTGCTAGTTCCTAGGACAAAAGTGTCTCAAGTGCCTGTACTAGAAGAAAGAATAAAAAAAGAACTTACCTCAGATACGTGTTCCCGTTGTGATCTGTAGTGCTCTAGCGAAGAAAAATTAAGCACAGAATTGCTGTTCTCCAGAGATTATCGAACATTTGGTCCTTCGAACCGGATTGGTCGTCGAAACTCCGACCGTTCTGGAAACTTCCCGTGGTGGAACGAATCGCCATTGCAGCTGCAGGACAATCCACGCCGGATCCGCCATCGCAGCCAGCTGAAGAATAGCTTTGGATTGTGAGATCCGCCATCGCAGCCAGCTGAAGAATAGCTTTAGATTGTGAGATTCCGCCATCGTTCCTGCTGTTTCGATTAAATTACAAGGCACATAATTGCCTTTCACAAGACCCAGCTCACCATCCACCATTTCAACTGTTCGGAGATCCACGTCGTCCTACTGGATTCCGCCATCACTGCTGCTGATTTAAATTGATTTGATTCAAGGCAAATTAATTGCCTCTACCAGGTAATTGGCATTCCAACTTCCTTACTTTCATTTTTTGTGTGCTGCGCTGGTCCATTGTCCACAGATCTATTCTTCAATGTCGACCGAGCGCCGCATTAAGTCGCTGAAACTGCGACTGAAAAGTTTGGTGACGTCGCTTAATCTAATTAAGGCGTTCGTTGATGACAACGATGAGGAAAAGCAGGCCGATGAAGTGCCTGTCCGTCTCGAAAGTCTGATAAGACTGTGGACGGACTACAATACCGTCCAGAGCGAGCTGGAGACGCTCGATGAAGCTGCCATCGAGGTCCACCTGAAGGAGCGGACGTCGCTTGAGTCCGCCTACTACTATGTTAAGGGCTTCCTGTTAGCTCATAATAAAACTCCAATCACTCCAACTCACCCGATTCCAAATCATTTAGAAGCTCAATTCCCTCCGTCGACATCGCAGGTGCGTTTGCCGGACGTTAAACTTCCCGTCTTCGATGGAAAACTGGAGAATTGGCTAAATTTCCACGATTTGTTTGTGTCACTGGTCCACTCGTCGGTTGGTCTCTCGAACATCCAAAAGTTCTATTATCTGCGGTCCTCGTTGTCGAATGCAGCATTGCAGCTCATCCAAACGATCCCAATCAGCGGGAACAACTACCCGGTGGCTTGGAACCTTCTGCTGGAACACTTCCAGAACCCTGCTCGGCTGAAGCAAACGCCCGAAAAAAAATAACAACAAAAATACATTAAAAAACAATGTAACAATAAGACGAAAATTATTGTCTTAACAATGATTTATATTGTTACGTCTACAATAAATTTACCTTGATTTATGTTGTACAAAACAATAAATTTCATGGTAAATGGAAAATTTACAATAAAAAAGGGGGGTTGTTAAGTATCTTAACAATGAAATTTTCGTGATTTTCCCATATATTTTTTTTTCAATAACATTATATATTATTGTTATTTTACTGTTGGTTGGCGAATTTATTGATTAAAAAAATAACAGTGTACTTTAGAGTGTATGTGTTGGTTTGACAGATCTACTTTATCGACTTTAAAAATAAATCGAAATAATAAAACATTGCCCCGGGAAGGGAAGGGGGTGGTATGTCTGTTACGGGTGGTCCTTTTTTTACTGGTTATGGATCGAGATTCGATCCGGAACTTGTGAGAAATGCAGGCCAACTCCCCTGCGCTCGATATCCCTAGGTCACGTCTCCTTGGTGGTTGAGCGTCGTTGATAAGTTAATGCATTCGACTGGAGAGAATCGCCCATGAAATATGCTTCCACATGAGAGTTCCTTCTTGACATCTTCAAGTGGTGGAATTTTTTATTATTATTGTATGATTATTGACTGCACGGAAAAGGTCTCCATTAAGCTTTAGAGAGGGTCTAGGATAAGATATGAGCGGACGTGGACTGCCTGGTTTTGAGCCAAACGAACTGTCAAAGCCAGAGCCATACGAGCAGCGCCTATCTTAATAGAGCATTTTATGAGACGTTTCTGGTTCAACTCATGAATGAACTGCAGGAGGCGGTTACCTAACGGCTGTGAGAAGCAATATCAATATCATCAAATTCTGGCAGGCAAACCAGCTCCTGTCATTTCATAAAATGGACTATTACATTGGCAGTGTTGCTGACAATCAGATTTATTTTTATTGTTCATGAAGTAACCCACAATGAAAATACACCAATATTTAATGTAACAACAATTTTTATTGTAATAGAGTTGTTCATTATTGTTCATGATCGAATCATGTTAACAATAAAATAAATGAAAAATACGATAAAAATCATTGTAACAACATTTTATTATGTACATTCATTGTACAGCTAGGTAGCAGTTTTGCCGTTTTTGGAAGAGTACAACATTATAACAATCATTTTTATTGTCGACAATAAATATTAATGTTAGAGCATTGTTTCCACTGAAAATTTCACTGTAATTTTTTTTTCGGGCGTACGTGGACGCACTCTTCGACTTCGCTTCAATGAAAAGGGAATCGGCAACGGAACTCCATAGTCTAGTGGAGAAATTCGAAGCAAACGTCAAGGTTCTGCAGCAATTGGGTGAACGTACGGAATACTGGGACATCCTACTCATTCGTATGCTCAGCATTCGACTCGATCCGACGACAAGGCGAGATTGGGAGGAGTACTCTTCAACCAAACAAGCGATCACCTTTAACGAGCTGACGTCATTCATCCAGCGACGAATCACGGTGCTACAAGCCATCAAAGCGAAGACCATCGAAACACAACCGTCAATCACACAGAAGAAGCCAATTCAGCGTTCCGTCTCGAGTCACGGAGCCAGCCAGTTCAACGTTCGGAATTGTGTCATCTGTTCCGACCATCACCCTCTGTACCTTTGCGGGAGTTTTTCGAAGCTTTCGGTGGAAGAAAAGGAGAAGGAAGTCCGTCGTCATCAACTTTGCCGGAATTGCCTGCGAAAAGGTCATCTCTCGAGGGATTGTTCGTCGTCCACTAATTGCCGCAAGTGTCGTGGACGTCATCATACCTTGCTCTGCTTGAACCATTCTTCTTCGTCGTTGAATTCGAAGCCTATCAGCTCCCAGCAACCGAAATCTGTTACACCTGCTCCAGCTATCGATCCTCCGACCACGTCTGCATCTGCTACGGTCGTCGAGTCGATCAGTTGTGCTTCCGCTGGCTACAAGCGGAAGACAATCCTCCTTGCAACTGCGGTCATCATCTTGATTGACGATGAAGGAGTCCAACACGTCGCTCGCGCTCTCCTGGACTCAGGCAGCGAATGTTGTTTTATCACAGAACGCTTTTCGCAACGCATCAAGGCTCAAAGGAAGAAGATTTACCTGCCAATCACCGGAATCGGTCAAGCATCCACTCAAGCTAAGCTGAAGTTTACGTCCACTATCCGTTCTCGAGTTGGTGAGTACTCCACCAACGTCGAATTCCTCGTTTTGCCGAAGGTGACCGTCGATCTACCAGCTACATCCGTCGATACTTCGACATGGGACATGCCATCTAGCATTCAGCTTGCAGATCCGTCGTTTGACAGCACCAATCCGATCGACATCATTATTGGAGCCGAAATCTTTTTTGATCTGTTCAAGGTTCCCGGACGAATTCCTCTCGGCGACAATCTTCCAGTGCTCGTCAACTCCGTCTTTGGTTGGGTAGTAGCTGGAAAGTCTACGATCAGTCCGTCTACCGCTCTCGTCGTTGCTAACGTCGCTACAGTTTCAGATATCCATCAGCTAATGGAAAAGTTCTGGACAATCGAGGAAGACAGCACTTCGACAGCGTACTCCGTCGAAGAAACCGCTTGCGAAGAACACTTTCGACGCACGATTAGGCGCAATTCTGAAGGAAGGTACATAGTTCGCTTGCCAGTGAAGGATGACGTCATCAAGCAACTCGGCGACAACCGTCGCACTGCTGTTCGTCGTTTTCGAATGCTGGAAGGTCGTCTTGTTCGTAACGCAGACCTTGCCAAGCAATATCGTGATTTCATGGATGAGTATCTGACTTTGGGCCACATGAAGCAAGTGTTCGACTACCAAGCGCCTCCATCTCCATGTTATCACATGCCTCACCACGCTGTGGTTCGAGAAGAGAGCACTACCACGAAGCTGCGAGTGGTATTGGATGCGTCATGCAAGACTCCGGAGGGACCATCGCTCAACGACGCACTAATGGTAGGCCCAACCGTTCAGCAAGACATCCGTTCAATTATCATGCGCTCCAGAATCCGTCGAGTCATGATCATCGCTGACGCAAAGCAAATGTATCGGCAAGTTCTTGTAGACGAGCGTGACACTCCGCTTCTACGAATCGTTTGGACGCCATCGCCGGACCTACCATTAGGTACCTACGAGCTCCTAACAGTCACATACGGCACTGCAAGCGCACCTTTTCTCGCTACTCGAGTTCTCCTGCAACTGGCAGATGACGAGCAAGAGAGTTTTCCTGAAGCAGTTGAGATTCTACGTAAGGACTTCTACGTAGCCGACCTTTTCTCGGGAGCAAAAAGCGTCGAAGAAGCAATCGAACTTCGTCAGCAACTGGAAGCACTCCTCGCTAAAGGCGGATTCCAACTTCGTAAGTGGGCATCCAACGAAGAAACTGTTCTGGATGGCCTCGCACCAGAAAATCGAGCGCTCAAAGCCTCCATTGACCTGGATCGTGACCAATGTATCAAGTCCTTGGGTCTTCATTGGGAACCCGCATCGGATCAGCTGAAATACCACATCGAGCTTCCGGCAGACTCATCTGATTCTCCTCTCACCAAGCGAATCGCGTTGTCGCAAATTGCTCGTCTCTTCGACCCACTTGGTCTACTGGGTCCTGTTGTAATCTCTGCCAAACTCTTCATGCAAGCACTCTGGACGTTGAAGGACGATGACGGAAAGGTTTGGAACTGGGACCAAGAACTTCCGATGCCACTAAGGGAACGTTGGAATATCTACCGCTCTCAGCTACCTCTTCTCAACAGCCTTCGTATCGAGCGGTACATCCTTTCTTCGACTCCGTCAAGCGTTCAGTACCACTTCTTCTCGGACGCTTCTCAGCACGCATACGGCGCGTGCTGCTACATTCGATCGTCAGACTCTTCTGGAGCAGTGAAAGCAGCCCTGCTGACCGCTAGATCCAAGGTAGCACCCTTAAAACAGCAGAGCATTCCTCGTCTAGAACTTTGTGGAGCACTTCTCGCCGCCAAACTCTACCAAAAGGTAACCGCATCTCTCGAGCTTCCAGGGGAAACCTTTTTCTGGGTCGACTCTACGACGGTTATTTGCTGGTTGAAAGCTACGCCGTCAACGTGGAATACTTTCGTAGCCAATCGTGTCTCCAAAATTCAGTTAGCTACGCAAAACTGTTCTTGGAATCACGTCTCCGGACAAGAGAATCCAGCAGACTACCTATCCCGAGGCATTCCGGCAGAGAACTTGATCGAAAACCAACTCTGGTGGCAAGGACCGAAGTGGCTACAACTAGATCAACACTCTTGGCCGATCGAGCAAATCAACAACGAATTCAATAGCGAAGCACTCCACGAAGCAGGAAAGCGAGCAACAACCGGCTGTCCAGCCTCAACAGAACCATCGTTCATCGACTTGTACGTGGACAAGTTTTCCAACTACGATCGGATGCTTCGAGTAACTGCATACTGTCGTCGGTTCATCCAACATTGTCGTCGAGCTCCAGCTAACAATACGGAAACGAATTACATTTCTACGGACGAAAAGAACGCAGCGGAAGCAACCCTAATTCGACTGATTCAAAAGCAAACCTTCGCAGACGAATGGAGAAATCTCAGATAATTCTTCCTGCGTCTCATGCTTTCTCCACGCTTTTGGTTCGATCGTACCACGAAAAACATCTACATGCAGCTCCGCAACTTCTCGTCACTGTTCTTCGTCTGCGGTATTGGATCACAGGGGCCAGAAACCTAGCCAAATCCATCGTACACAGCTGCATCGCTTGCGTCAAAGCCCGTCCAAAACTCTTGGAACAATTCATGGCCGAGCTACCAGCGTCACGAGTCACCGCCACACGACCATTCTCCGTAGCCGGCGTTGACTACTGGGGACCCATCTCGCTGCAGCCAACACATCGTCGAGCAGCACCACGAAAGGCCTATGTAGCGGTTTTCGTGTGTTTTTCCACCCGCGCTGTACACATCGAATTAGTCATCGATCTGAGCACAGCCAAATTTCTTCAGGCGCTACGTCGTTTTGTTTCTCGTCGAGGTCTGTGCAGTGACATATACAGCGACAACGGTCGCAACTTCATAGGAGCCGACAATGAACTGCGGAAACTGATCCGCAGCCAGGAACACCAGCAAGCACTAGCTCGAGAATGCACCTATAAGGGTATTCGTTGGCACTTCAATCCACCCAAAGCATCGCATTTTGGTGGCCTGTGGGAGGCTGCCATTCGTTCCGCCCAAAAGCATTTCGTTCGTGTACTTGGCACACACACTCTTGCCCAAGACGATATGGAGACATTGCTGGTACAAATTGAATGCTGCCTCAATTCTCGTCCCATCGTTCCACTCAGTGACGATGCATCCGACTTCGAGCCTCTCACGCCTGGCCACTTCCTCGTAGGGTCCGCACTGAAGGCTGTTCCGGACACCAACGTCACCGAAATTCCGTTCAACCGCTTACGACAATGGCAACTAACTCAAAAGTTGTTCCAAATCATCTGGAAGAGGTGGCATTATGAGTATTTATCAACATTGCAGCCTCGAACGAAATGGTGCAATCAACCAATTAGTATCCAACGAAACCAACTGGTGGTTCTTAAAGATGAAAATGCACCTCCAATGGCTTGGCAGACCGCCAGAATCGTCGATCTTCATCCCGGAATCGATGGTGTTACCCGTGTAGTTACCGTACAAACACCAACCGGCCGCTACACTCGTCCAGTTGCAAAAATTTGCTTGTTGCCAATATCGCCCACGCAAAACAACACCACCGAGAGCACCGACCAGTCATTCACAACGAATTGTACCACCACAACACTAAAAGCAAACATCGATTCCAATCCAGATCAGCGAAAATGAAATTAATACAAGGTCCTTTTACATAAAGGACAAGGTAAGAACCTGTCCTATATAATTAATTGCATCGTAACCCGCTACCGGGTCTTAATTTGTTTTTTTTTATGCTCTCGTCGTCCGATTGTTGATCAAAAATAACAACAACATCGCTTTCGCCACAACGAGTGACATCGACGATTCATCAAACGTCAACGGATCGTCATCGACGTCATCGAGAGGGGCATCAATTAATAGCGACACGGAATGAGCGATCATCGATTCTACTGTCAGAAATACGATTTCTGAAGGGGCCAGCATGTTCGTGCATCACGAAAAGTGCATCCGCGCGCCACCTGTTTTTCAACCCGCATCGACCGACAGCATCAACCATTCTTCGATCATCGATTATGGAGCCTGGCGGAAAAGTGCGTTCTCGCTCTATCCGGGACTACCTACATAAAATGGAGGCACCCTCTATAAAAGGCGAGCTGTCATCATGAAATCATCATCAGTTTTTCTCGACGTCATCATCCTTCAACAACTCAGAAAGTGAATCAAAACAAAGAACGAATAGTGGCAGTGATTTTATTGAAATAATATTTTGTAGTTTTTTGAATAATAAAGTAGTAAAATAGTTATAGTAGTGAACAATAAAGATACTTTGTACGAACCTGCGTGCTAGTTCCTAGGACAAAAGTGTCTCAAGTGCCTGTACTAGAAGAAAGAATAAAAAAAGAACTTACCTCAGATACGTGTTCCCGTTGTGATCTGTAGTGCTCTAGCGAAGAAAAATTAAGCACAGAATTGCTGTTCTCCAGAGATTATCGAACATATTGTTTTAGTTAGGTTTTGAACATTGTAAAGTCAACTGTTTGGAACTAAGGTCGAGGAAGATCCTGAAAATGATGAAAACCCGTCCGAACCCACCTCACTTTTCACCACCACATCCCGAGAGTACGTCTCTTCTCTTATATCATCGCATCATCTAAGCGAACGATTGGGCCTAGCTGGCGAGCTCGCTTCAGTGCGCAGAAACCACGATGTCATTTTATACAGGTAAATAGTTGTAATATATCCATGTAGTGTTATTTTTAATTAAAGTACTATTGTGAATTGTGAATACATGGAAGTTAATCACGTACAAGGATGGAATTTCGACCACTACACCCATAAAAAATCCCGAACCAAATAAATGGCAGGAATGGTGATAATTCAACGTCACCAATCAACCATCTCGGGTATCCACTTTTAAAAAAGCTGCCTCTTATGGGCAAGTGTTGCATGCTTGAGATGCTCAACCAACTCTGGGTCTCGGATACCTACCCGACGCTGTGGAAGGAGTGTCTCCTCGTGCCTATCCCGAAGGCAAACGAAAAAGACAGGGGCACATCTAAATTCCGGCCGATCGCTCTCACATCCTGCATGGCCAAGGTATTCGAACGGATGGTGAATCGTCGACTCAAGATATTCCTTGAGACCAACAGCTTGCTCGACCACCGACAACATGCCTTTCGACAAGGTTTCGGTACATCCACGCACTTTGCCACTCTAGGGGACGTCCTCAAGGAAGCTTACGACCAGCACGTTGAAATCATCTCTTTGGACATCTCCAAGGCTTTCAACCGGCATTGGCACCAGCCGCCTGAAAAAAAAATTACAAACTGGGGCTTGAAGGGGCATATGATGTAGTTCATACGAAACTTCTTGACCGACGGTTCATTCCGTGTTTTGGGGAACACGCGGTCGAAAAGTTTCAGCGAGGAGACCAGAGTCCCTCAAGGCTCTATTATTGTAGTCACGTTGTTTCTGGTGGCAATGAACGGGGTATTTAACAGGCTACCTGGGCGCATTTACATATTTGTTTACGCTGACGATGTGCTGATTGTAGCCAGCGGTCCTACACAGATCCGAACCCTACGGCAAGCGCAAGCGCCAGTCCATGCCGTCGTCAAATGGAAGAGCATCCGATGCCACGTATGACCGTCTCATCACCGAGTCAACAGCACCCCAATTACGATCCACGACCAAGCCATTCCAAACAGGAAAACAGTTCGCGTCCTCGGCGTACTGATCATCCGAACGCTCTCCTTCGACCAGCATTTCCAACAGGTCAAATAGGACTGCCGCAGTAAACTCAATCTCGTTAAAACGATTTCTCGGCCTCACCGATCCAACAACCGCGATGTTCGGTTCCGGGTGGCGCGAGCCATCATCGACAGTAGGTTGCTTTACGGGACGGAAATTACTTGTATCGCTTCCGAGAAGCTGGTTAGAACCCTAGCTCCGCTCTACAATAGCTACATCCGCATCACATCTGGTCTCCTGCCATCCACTCCAGCAGACGCCGCATGCATCGAAGCATTTCCTTTCCGGTTCTGCTTAAACGCAAATATTGCCACAAAAGTCACCGCCTTTTCCACCAAGACCTCCGTAAACAATAGGATCTTTCTCCTCGACGTGGGGAACAGAGTCCTCCGCACGCCCGCCGACATGGACCTCCCCCCAGTGGCCAAAGTCCATTGGCATGGAGAGAAAAGTTGGCACTCTTCACGAATCCAATTGGACAATCTGATCAAGAACCGCTTCAAAGCAGGGGATGCATCCGTGATTTTGCGCAGATTAGTCGCCGAGTTACAGGAACAACAGAAAACAAAATGATTTAAAACAAGCTACAAACGAGTAATCCAAACAAAACAGAGCTCAGCTGGCATGGGTCCAATAGGGGAAATCCATTCATCTGAGATGTCCCGACGGCCGAAAGAAATTCTTCTATACCAAGTGGTAGATTTTGGCTTTTTATAAGAAGGTTACTAGTGCTGCCGAGGCCGAAGTATCATTCCCGAGCAGATCACTGATGCTGAAAGTTAGGCAGAGTGTGTTCCGAAGAAACTCCGGGAAGTTGCATAGGATATGTCCGACGGTGTAGGGTACCCCACAGATGATGCAGCTTCTGCGGAACGGCAGGCCACCATAGTTATAGTAGAGTTTTGTGTGCCCGGTTCGAAGTCGCGAAATCACGCGTTGGTCCCTCAGGTTGTCCAGTTCGAATCCCTATTATACTTAAAATTATTTCTTTGTATCCCGCGTGTCACCTAAATCACCAACCACAATGCTACGGAGCTGAATACTGGATTTTTTGGAGAACCCATGAAACTTCAAGCAAAGTGTCCTAAACATCTGCAGCCATCGCTTATTCATTACTGAAGCATCTTTATCACCAAATGCATGATGGAGTCGATCAGGCTGAACTTCAGTAAAGTGGAATGAAAGGATTTCATTGCTGCAATCGATCACTCATCAGTCAAAGAACAAGTGCAGCTCCTAAGGCAATTTCGTCATCAGTCACAGTATTCATCACATCATCAAGTGAGGGCGATCACAATCAAACCACCATTTCAGAACGGATAAGTACGTACGATTTGGAAATTTTACGGTTAGCTTGGCTCAGATCCAAGCATCGGTAAGAGGGAGCTCCACAGTACTCCCTTCCAGGTGAGTTAAAAGGAATGGTATATGTCCACTTCCAAGTTAGGACGACAGGGTATACACAATTTAAATGGAATTTTATCCTCTTCAATTCCATCCCTATGGACACATACGTTTGGACTAAGAAACTCAAGAAATCCAGTTGCTAGACTAAGGAAACCATGTAACTCGGTACCATTCAAGGTTCTCCATGTAAAACACATTTAGTATATGCCCTGCTGGGGCTAAACAAACCAAGCGACATGCGCGTTCCCACGGAATACTGGTTACATTGACAGGCATCCAACAGTG